ATGAATTATGTTCATCTATTCCAAATTCTCTAGATCTAAAAAATGCGTTAAACAATCCATTATTTCATGCTCAGATAAATTAAAAGACGTCTGGTAAATAGTCTAAGAAGAATATTATGATGACAAGCCAACCGAGCTTGATAAAGTTTGTCCTAATTATCTTCGCTAAAATGAGCTATATAATTCCACCCTGTATATGTTTTTCTAGAATTCTACCAATCATCATCATCATCACAGGATTCATCATTCTCGTTATCATCATCATCCGCCCAAAATTTGTTATCATCGCTATCATTCATCATCCGCCCAAAATTCGTCATCATTATCATTTGTCACAAATTCTTCATCCAAATTATTACCAGCGTTAAGATCAGAATTGGTTAGTAAGTTTTGATCCATAGCTGATGAAGATGTGCAGATATAATAAAATACACTAATAATACTTATTTTTAATTTAGTATTCTACAGCCTCTTCGATTAGAAGTAGTAATACAGATAAAATAAATCTCAATTACATTATATATTATTGATTAATCATAAAATATTGGAGCAATGTACAGTATAATTTTGGAAAATTTTCTTGTTAAACAAGCAAATATAATGGGTATATTTCTAGCATGAAAAAAGTGCCAGTGATGAAAGTCATGAAACTTACTTGACAAAGTGCCAGGTAAGATATTACACAATTAAAGGTAGGTTTACTTGGTTTAAGCTGAATAAGCTGAACATTTGCAAAAAGACTTTGTAACTAATACATAGTTTTCCTTTTAAGCTTCTCATTAGTATCACGACTGATTAAGGTTGTTTGTCTAAACCACTTTAAAATCCTACGATTAGTTTCGTCAAAATTTTACTATAGATTTATTATAGTTTCGGCNAAAATCCTACGATTAGTTTCGTCAAAATTTTACTATAGATTTATTATAGTTTCGGCAAAGTTTCGGCAGTTTCGGCATTTATAATAAGTTTCAGCAGTTTCGTCTTTCTCCAAAGTTTCGCCAGTTTTTTAATATAACTTTAATATAGTTTCGGCAGAATTTTGCTTTTTGGCAAAACGCCATCTTGTCTAAACCCCTAGATTTCGGTAAGCAACCTTACGACTGATAAAACAGGATCCCAGATATCTCTTATAGAACTCACAACTGACTTTTTGCCAAAAAAAGACCTAATTTACTTTTTTTATTTTCTGTTTTTTTGCGATTATCTCAGTATTCAGTAATCTGATTCATGCAGATTTTTTATTTTGTAAAGCTCAATGAGAGCTACAAAACAAAAAAAAGTTCATACAAATTGGACTACTAGATGCTAAGATAATCACAAAAAACTGATTTTTTTTTGTGAAATTTGCGAAAAAGTTACCCTCTGAGTTGTATATGTAATGTCCAGGGTTCTGATGAAACAGGTCTCTTTAAAACCAATTTTATCTAATATATTGCAAATAAAAAAAACAAAAAAAAACTTTGTCAATTAAGATTTTCTCGTGGATAATAAACCAATTGGTCTATTTGAAATTATATATTTAATGCAGGATAATTTAGGCGATTCATAATCGATAAGTTGGATTGTTAATGAAGATCTAGAGATATTCATGTTTTGCAATAATCTTGGCAAATCTTTAGTGTATGGGAAAACAAGATAAGTGCATTGCTTGCAAGATTGATATTTCAGTAATTTAGAATTTATTATATTTGCGAAATAAAATAATAGAATATGAAAAGTAATATAAGTAGGAATGAATATGGGAAATTACTTCATACTTCACTTTTCATTCTCTCTACAATTCATCACTATGGCCAGTGAACCTTTGATCAGTACTTCTAAAATTCAAACAGATATTTCTGAGTCTTTCCAATTCGAAGTACTTGCATTAAATTATCTTTGAAATCAAGAGATTTTAACTATTCCCACTAGAATTCTGAAACTCAATCCTTGCAGTATTTACCAAGAAGTAATTCTAAAATTCTGATTTCAATCGTTTGTTGTGTTGAAATTGCAAACACCTTTTTCACTGCTAATGTTTTGAGAAGTATATTATGCAAGTAGAAACTGAACCACCTCTTATATGTCCTTCATATAATGTAGTAATCATTAAACTGACTAGAGAAGAGGTAATACTCACCTCTGGAAAATATCATCTTCAGAAAAATAATGAGGGGCTCATGACTTCACTAGGATTGGTAGAAGGTGGTTTTCGTGTTGGACAAGGAAGTCAGTTAAAGTAAGTCACTATGCAGGATCAGGTGACAAGTTCAATCATGATTGAGGATAATGAACACGAGCATGGTATATTATTTGACATTGATCCTTTTGCATTTAATCGCTTTTCTAACTTAGTTCTCTTAAAGTTACTTACTTTTTGGAAAGGAGAAAAAGCAGGGGCATGTGTAATCTTGACTGGTACAGCACATGCAAAGTTCAAGAGGAATTACCTGAAAAATGGCATGTAAAAGTATATTGAATATATTGGTCCTCTATTAAAAGATGTTTTTGACAAGTTGCTGGAATTTCACAGCTTTCTGAAAAAAGTGAATATTACGCAAAAAGTGAAAAAAATTACCAACTGCATCTCACACGAACTTATATATTTCAATAGGCATATAAAAAGTGATGACACTTATATTTCTAATAGTAACATTGATGAATCGCTAGAATTCTTTTACAAAAATTGATGTGATGAGTTTCTAAAATTGGCAAGAAGTTATATTGAAACGCTCAATGCTATTTCTGAAACAAATTACTGCAGAAATCTTTTAAATATATTTTTAAAATCTTCAGTCATTTATAGTAGCGTAAACTTTGATTAGAAGTTCTTGGATACTGGGCTAGTATATCAGTTTAAATGAGTATAATTATGTGATGTATAAACCATTGTATCCAACTGCTTTAGATGCACTTTTAAATATATATCAGACTTTTCCAATACTTAGAGATATATGTGTCACTTTTCTTAAAAATGGTCAACTCACAGGCAATAACTTTGAGGAAGTATTATTTCAACAGCTGTTGAATCATCACAATATAATATTTAAGGCAACAGATTTGAATGGAGATTATCGTACAATGAATGTATATATCTAGTTTAAACACTTCACTATTCTTGAAAAAGATTAGTTTGCTTCTGAACCACAACACAACCAGTCCTTGGTCTGTAGTTTTGCACAATATTTATGGTTTGATTTTATAGTTGAACACACATTCATTCAAGTTTCTGTCACCCTAAAGCTCTGAACGGTTTGGTTCAGTTCCATTTTTCGGTTCTTTTCTGATTGGTCAGAATCCGTTTTATACAATAACTCGTCATCCAGTAATCGTAGAAACCCGATCTATAGTTCGTTGGAATCGTCTCATTGAAACGGTTCGAATAGTACCAAAATCATCTTTCTAGCATCGATAGATGGCAAGTTAATTTTGCCAATTTTTCAAAAAATAACTCGCCATCTATCGATGCTAGAAGGATGAATTTAGTACCATTCGAACCGTCTCGACAAGACGATTCCAACGAGCTATAGATCGGGTTTCTACGATTACTGGATGGCGAGTTATTGCGCAAAACGGATTCTGACCAATCAGAAAAGAACTGAAAAATGGAACTGAACCAAACCGTTCAGAGCTTTAGTCAGCCCTTTCAACTAGCATAATAGAGATTCTACAGATATCATTAAAGCATTTGAACCCTATGGCAATTATGTGAAAAATCAGATTGAAATATATCTGGACGCAATGTTTGGTAGTTAATATATGGCAAAATTTGAAAACAGCCGCTTTGATATTTGTAAAAATAGTGATCCTGTATTAGACTTCCATATCGTTTATATTACAGATTCTACTTATCATATCACATTATGAATACTACAGTTCAATGCCATTATTGTAGTAGTAAGGCATGTAAACACTTTTTTGAATTGACATGACAATATTTACCGTTAATTTACTAGAAAGAGATGCCATACTTCACTCCACTAAATTATATGCTGATTGTCCTAGTGCATGTGTTCATATTGTAAGATAATCCAGATCAAGTTTTTTGAAAATAAGCAAATATTTTAAAATATTTGCAAAAAATCGGGGATTTTTATCAGGTCCACTATCTGTTAATAAACACCAAATAGGTTTTATTGAATCTTCATGATGTGTAAACTTATGAAAGGACTCTTCTTCTGTGATTGTCATAAGATCAACCATATGTGTTTCACATGATGTACCCAAAAAATATCAGAACGGATAAAAATTCTCATTTTACCTGAGCGTAAAGAATCATTTGTATTATCAGAATTAATTATTAGATAAACAGATGGTATTAGCTTATACTTTGCACCTTTTGGAAAGTCATAATCAAGTACAGACACAGGCTTATTTACTGTTTGTATAGCTTTAAATGTTTTTCCAACTGCAGCAATTCCTAATGAAACCTAATATAAACAGTTTAAATATTAATTTAAAATCATAAGATAAATTATAGAATAATTATATTTACTTTAGCCTTATCATCCTGTAAAATTAAAACAACATCTTGTGAAAAAGCTAATGCAAATGCTTTTACACCTTTAGTTAATGCTAAGCAATAATGTTCATCAACATGATCATTCATCTCATTTTTTCCAATAACTGCCAGGCGGATTTGTGCAGAGTGATGATGCCCTTTAGCTTCTTTTGTGTTTGAATGTTGGAATTGCAAATAATTTTGCATTGTAGATCTTATCATATAAATCCTGTAATCCTTCTTCATTTTTTCGTGAAGATGTTTAATTGTTCATACTTTAATTACTTCTTTACGTCGTTTATGATCTGCTACTCCAAACTCAACGCTATTGTGCATGTTCTCCAAAAGATTGGGTTTATTTATTAAAAATGATGAACATCCTGGTGCATCATATATTTCTACAATATTTTCCTCTTCTAACATTTCCTTTTTCTTCTTTCATGCTCGTTGCTGAGCTGTTGCATTACTTTTTAACTGCTTAAGTTTTTTTTCCTCTAATACTATAGTTTTCTCAAGATCTTTAATCTTTGAACGAAGCAAATTGTGAATAAAGTACTAATGACGTTGCTACTTTTGATAGATTAGTATATTCACATAGTCTAGCATTAGCTTCTTGAAGAATAGCATTTGATTGATTTTGTGCTGTTACATTTTTTGAAACTTGAATAATAGTAGAAGGTTTGGAAAGAGTATTTGGAAGTGATACTGAAAGTCTAAATACAGAATTTCATTGTGAAAAAAAAGTGAAAGGAGGAGGTTGAACAGGAGTCCTCAATAGTTCAGAAATAAAGTTATGAATAGTATTTTTGTATTTTGTTTTTACTTCTCGCCAACTATTTTGTACTTGCAGTTGTAGCTCCTTTTTGTTTGGTATTAAGTTCTGACTTTTTATCATTTCACTGAATGCAAAAGTATTCACATACTGCTCATAAAGATTTTAAGGGTTTGGAATAGGGTAATTTTTAGAGTATTTTGACTCCTAAAAATACGTTTATTTCATTATAATATAAAGTACAAAATTAACATGACTATATTTTTATGAAAAATATTTAATTTTTAACGTGAAGAAAGTGGCAAAGTAAGGCAACGAAGGTGATGCAATATTTATTTTAAAAACATGTGAAATGTTTATTGTTCTAAAATTGTAACATTTGTTCAATGTTATTCAAAAAATGTCACATTAAAATGGCGTAATGAATTTATTAGGATAAACATGGTGTAGTAAAATTTAAGACTATGGTGCAGTAATTTAACGGTTTATTTAACATAGCCCAGAATTACAAAATTTCCTAATAAGGAATAGTATAACATCATCATAGCCCGATACCTCCCTCCTTAGGAAATGACATCATTTCTGATCCTACCCTAATATGATGAAAGGATAAAAAAAATATAATAAAGGTGAAAAAAAATGTTTTTATTTATCGTGGGAATAAAAAGAAAAAAGAGATTACATGTATTATACTATGGGAAAATTTTGTATATAAACTATCAATGATCAATCAGTAAAATAATAAGGCGATATTATTAATCATCACTCAATAAAAATTTTATTTAAGAGCAATGCATGATAATCATCGCATGATATATTTAAGAGTATTTGTATATGAAGTGATAAATATGGAGATCACACTTCGCGATGTATACATTAATTCTAAATATAAATAAGTTAGTATTAAATTTTGGGTCTGATTTTTATTTGTCACATACCTATTTGTCACCAGGGTGGTCAACCAGACTATCAAACATGGCACACAAAAACATATGAGCTGATTTGTCTTAAAAAGAGTTATTAAATTGATTTGCACAATTTTCATTACTCAAAATTGTTTTGTAATACCAAAAAATCATCTGATTGATAATCACTTGACTAAATAATAAGTTGAACAAAAATTTACATTTGCGAAACTTAAATTATTAAATGTAGAAAAAACCCATTTCTCATATATATGGAATTTTTAACATATATTATTAAAAAGTAAGTATATTTTAATAAAATATAAAGTAAAATAAAAATTTATATAGTCTTAGTAGCTATAAATGTATAATAAAAATATCATATAAAAGATGGTATCATAATAGATATATTCAAACAATAAAATAATTATTTTATGTTGGAATTTGTATTACCATCTTTAGACGCAAATATATCAAGATTCACTGATCCGTTTTCTATAATTTTAGGCTCGTTGGAAAGCCCTTGTTCTGGACTTTATAGGCGAAAAAAGAGCTCGCCGATTGAATCATTAGATCCAGAGATATTTACGTTTAAAGTTGAGGTACGAACTTTTTAACATGCTTAAATGCAAGTATCTTGGGATCCACTGATCCATTTTTTATAAATTTAGGCTCTTCGGAAAGCCCTTGATCTGGTCTATATGAGCGAAAAAAGAGCTTGCCGATTGGACCATTAGATCTGGAGATATTTACGTTTAAAGTTGAGATACAAATTTTTAATATATATAGTAAGTGCTAAGAATTATATTAATTTAAAAGAAATATTTACCAACTTATAGTATAATAACATTAAATAAAAGTTTTTTAATACTCGCCCCCAATTTACTGTATATTGTATAGTATTTTGTATAATAAAAATGTAATAAAATCAATATTTTAATTAAAGGTAGACAAATCAGCCCATATGAAGGGGTGCTATGAAATGATATAGTGACATCATTATGTCATTTTAAATGACAAAATCAAGATCAATATCTTTTATTCATGTTGTCACCAACAAATTTTAATTGTATAATTACAACACATATGTTTGCCTTCTATCTTGCTTTAATTCATTATTGATATAATAGAAGATACAATGGAACAAGAAACTATGGAGGATACAATGGATGATACGATGGAGCAAGAACTTAATATTCAAAATATGGCTGATGCATTTCAAGCAATAGCCACTGAAATTGCAAAACCTAATCTTCAAAATACTATGGCTGATACATTTCAAACAATTGCAACTGAAATTGGAAATTCTAACCTTCAAAATATGGCTGGTGCGTTTCAAACATTGGCAACAGAAATTGTAAACATTCCTAACACAGCCAACAATAACATTCCACAACTGTTTCAGGATTTACACCAGCAAATGGTTATACGTATGTATATTATTTTTGAACAAGCCTATTTTTAATCCTTCATTAAAGACGTTTCTAACTGTTTCTTTTATTTTTAGAGGAACAAAGAAACTCGGCGTGAGTTGGTAATTCATCAATTCGTGACCGTCATACCGATATTGAAGCGTTATTAACTGATACAGGAGCAATTCCACCTAACTATCCAGTTGACGTTGAAGCATTGGGAACACCACGTCTGATCAAATTGATGGATTACTCACTGCTTATAGCCTGCCAGTAAATGGAGATTTACTTACTCGAAAGATCCATTTTGCAAGATTTATCGGAATAAAAATGATGACTTTTTAAGTGCAGGAAAGATAAGGGGCTAAGACGAATACAATTGAGAAAGTTTTTATATATATATGTTTATGCTATTATTTTATACTAATCTACATATACACCCCACAAAAAAAAAGTTTGAGTTTTTTGAATGACATCGAATACCTTTATTCAGCAAATATATTAATATAATAGTTTATATTTCTAGAAAATTTAAATGTATATCAAAGATATTACTTTATAACTAAATAAAATTGCTAAATTCGACTTGCAGATTTTTAATAAAACGATGTTTGCCAAGTATGTCTCAATTTTATGTTAATCAACGTGAAATTTAATTATGTGCAAAACTTTATGATTAGGGTCATTGGAACGAGAATTCCAAAATTATATTCCAGTTCTCAACCAAGTAAGAGTCATGTTCAGCTGTTAAAGTAGACCTAGCGTATAGTGCCTTTCACCAACACACCTAGGACAAATTTGATGAACGTCTATAGGGATATCATTAAACGATGCTCCCAAGCTGTTTCAAATTACAGCTTCAAGTGCGCTAACTACTTGATCTCTGCCAATTCTATCCGTTTACTCAACCCTATTGCGTGGAAGGGTATTAAATTGATCTCTAGGAACGATAAGGCAATTGAGAGTAATAGTATTAGACATTTTGCTTTCCTGAATTCAAGGGCCATGGTTAGAAATTACTTCATTAATTCACACGAAGACGCAACTTCTGCCATACATGTACCTTAATTTTTCGCGAGAAGGTTAAATGAACTTCTACCGGCCCTTCCCGCTTTATATCTAGTTTCTGGGCTCGCAGAATAATAAAAAGCCAACAGAAATATGATTAACATTGTCGTATGATGCCAAGAAACCCTTGAAAGCACATGCAAATGGTATTTTCAAACCTTTTCACATGAAGATCTTCCTCGCAAGACTCAAAGTAACTTTACGCTTGACGATCTCGGAATTGCAAAGTCCTCACCCTTTCGTAACATAAGTTTTTGACGTTAATACTAACTTATAGGGCAGGTTCTGTATCGCAACAAAGAATTTTCACATGCCTTTCGTGTTTGTATAGGAAAAAAGATAGAGGTATGGTTGTATTGGATATATGCGAAAATTAATGTGTCACACAGACCTGCCTGGTGGCCGGAAGTCAATCTATTTTGTCTTACAATTTGTAGCTCAGCAAGAAAATCTTCTGAACTGGTGATCACTGCTCTGGACAAATAGGGCGGACATGCTTATTATCACCTAACAATTAGTGCTTCGACCCGGATGAAAACCGTCATCCGGATTACACAAAAAAAAAATCCGTATTATATCCGGATTGACCCGGATTTTGAATCCGGATCAGATAATCCGGATAGAAACCGGAAACCGGATTGGATTTACAAATGATCGGCAATAATTCTGGCCAGAATTTATAACGCCGGCCAGAATTACAATTGTGTAACATTAAATTTTCATGCCCGGTGGCTAAACTATTTTTCCGGTGTCACGTGATGTTAATTTCGGCCAGAATGGCCAAAATTATCCAAGACCACGAAATTTACATAATTCCAATTTCATTAAATACTTTTCTTTAAAACAATTTCATATTATTTCAGCATTGTCTCAGACTATTGTTTAACATTTCTTTGTAAATTAACTAATTATGAAATTTTAAACAAGATATTTTTATATACAGCTAAAGATC